GGAAAAGAAAAAATGTGGCACATATACACAATGGAATACTATGCAGCCATAAAAAAGGATGAGTTCATTTCCTTCTCAGGGACATAGATGAAGCTGGAAACCATCATTCTCAGCAAACTAACACAGGAACAGAAAACCAAACACTGTATGTTCTCACTCACAAGTGGGAGTTGAACAATGAGAACATATGGATACAAGGAGGGGAACATCACACACTGGGGTCTGTCAGGGGGTGGAGATTTTGGGGGAATAGCATTAGGAGAAATACCTAATGTAGATGACAGGTTGATGGGTGTACCAAACCACCATGGCACATGTATACCTATGTAAAAAACCTGCACGTTCTGCACACGTATCCCAGAACTTAATTTAAAAAAAAAAGAGCATCCCAATGAGACCAGGAATGTCTGAGTAAGGAGTTTGGCAAATTCTCTCCTCAAAAAGCAATGATAAAACTTGACAACTTATTTCAGAATTCTAAGAACTGACAAATGCATGCAACAAACTGAGAAACATCTACTCAAGAAAACCTTCTGCACCTTGGTTAGAAGAACAGTGGGAGTCCATGGCACTGTAGTCTGAGGCTGCCCCCATCTCACTCTCCCCTAATCCTCAAATTCTGTCAATATAGTTCCACCAGTGTGTGCAGGCTGTCAAGGCCTGCAGCCTCCCTGCTGGAGGGGGCTGAATTGATATGGAACAGAATGTGGGAAAAATGCACATGAAGGGTATTGTCGAAAGCAATACCTATCTGGACAGCAAACAGAGAAGGCAAACATTGCACCTAAATTGAGAAAATGGCTAGAGCAAGCCACAGACGGGCGAATCAGCCAGAAATTTGAGACCAAGGAAGTGAGGAGCACGGTGTGCAAAGCTGCACACACATGACCCAGCAATTCCACTTCTAAGTACTTAGACAAGACAAATGGAACCATATGTCCAAACAAACAACTGAAGGTGAACATTCATACTAGTACTATTCATAAAAGACCCCAAAATGGAGACAATCCAATCTATCAACTGGCAAATGGATAAACAAATGTGGTATATCTACATAATAGAATACTATTCAGCAAAAAATAAGGGAAAAACTACTAATACATGCTAAACATGGGTGATCTTCAGAAATAATTATGTTAGGTGAAGCCAAATGTAAAAGACTCTATGTTTGTATTATACCATTTATATGTAATACCTAGTCAAGGAAAACCTATGTAGACAAAGTTGATTAGTGGCTGCCTAGGACAAGAGGAGGGGAAAATAGAGGGTGATTGCTAATGAGTATGAGGTTTCTTTAGGGTGATATAAATACTCAAAAACTGATTATGCTGATGACTGTACAACTCAAAAAACATAGGAAAAACTATTTAACTGTATACTTTTAGTGGGTGGATTTTTATGGTATGTAAGTTAAATCTCAAACCTGTTAAAAATAATGGTATAAAGAACTGAACAGACCTTTCACCAAAGATGATACAGGAATGGCAAATAAGCATATAAAAAGATGATTAATGTCACTAGTAGTTAAATAGATTCCAACTAAAATCATGAGATACTACTGCATATCCACTAGAATGGCAAAAATTAAAAACACTGACAGCAGCATATGTTGGCAATAATGTGGTAAAACTGCAACCCTCACACATTGCTGGTGGAAATGTAACGTGGCACAGCCACTTTGGAAAACAGTTTCACAGTATCTTATAAACAAATACTTACCACATGACTCACCCATTTTATCTCTAGGTATTTATTGAAGAGAAATGAAATCACATGTTCACACAAAGATTTATATTCAAATGTTCATAGCCACTTTATTCATAATAGCCCCAAACTAGAAAGAGCCCAGGTTCCCACCAATAGAGAATAACAAACTGTAGCATACTCATCTAATGGAACACTACTGATTCAAGCAATGTCTTATGATGATTCAAGCAACATCACTGCATGTGATGGTCTCAGAGACACTATGCTAAGCAAACAAATTTACACAAATAAATTATATACTGAATGATTTAATCTAATCCACAGTGACAGAACAGGTCGACGTAGGTTGATGAGTGGGAACCAACAATTAAGGGACTTGAAGTAACTTTTCAGGGGTAAAGAAAATATTCTCTATTTTGGTTGTGGTGATACTCACACAGGTATATATGTCTTGTCCAAATTAATCAGACTGTACATGCATAATGTTTTTGTTGCATGTAAATTGTAGCTTAATAAAGTTGCCTTTATGGAGGTTGCAGTGAGCTAATATCTCGTCACTGCACTCCAGCCTGGGCAAGAGCAAGACTCTGTCTCAAAGAAATATAAATTACTTTAAAAAAAACACTAAAGTTGCCTTTAAAAAGCAATGAAGAAAAAGCTGATTAAAAATATAATACTATTCTTACTGATGAAATAGCCTTCTAAAAGTGGAAACAAGTTAGAAAATCTGTGTCTGGCTGACTCTACTTTGATCCTAGTGTTTTCAATACTTTTACCTACTTTCCCCTTCGTTTTAGAAGCAGACACACGGGAAGGTCTGGTACAATGTATAAAAGTTTTACAGGATATAGAGTCAAATAAGTGGTTTTCCAATGACCTTAATAACCTCGTACCTTGTAAGAACTGACACAAATACTTACTGAAGAACTATGTTTCAAACAGCCTTTTACAGGTTTGTGATACTATACATGATTAAGCCCCATTAGGGCAGGCACTATCCTTTTCCCCCATCAATGTTTATGTAGCGTCTCACACAGTGTCTTCCATCTATTGAATGTTCAAGAAATATGTGCTAAATGAATGAAGCAACACTTCCATTCACTCTGCGTTCTAGTTCAAGTAACTCCAATACACGTTCTCCTTCAGGGACAGAGATTTCTGAAGATTACCAAGGTAACTCGAAGAACGAAAATCAGACTAGAGTTACCTACTTAGACTTCAATAGCTTTCTAGTGATTGATGTGAGTGTAGCAGAACACTGCTTTTGAATTATTAACTACTACATGTTTCATTCCTAGTTTGTGCTCCTAGTTGCTTACAGCATTTTATTCAGTGACTCATTGATGGTCTGCTTGGGGAGGGAGAGAAAACGAGGACAAATCAAAGACATTATTTTGAAGGTCTAAGTTGTTTTTTAAATCGAAAGGAAGAAAAGTGTCTGGAAGCTAAAAAGTTTTGATTTGTCAGAGCCATTCTGGAGGTAGAAAGAGCTCTTAGGAATCTACCAATTCTATTGTGAAAATCAAGGATCAAAGCCTGGCTGAATTAGACAATTTATCCTATGAACCAGATTTGGGGAGAATGAATAATGATGCCAGAGCAGTTTTCTCAACCAAAAAGGGTCAAGAGTTTGATCAAGCAGGAAAGAAAATTGAAAGGAATATAGCTAGAGTTCAGTTACAGAGGTCTGAGACACTGTTGGCACCCTTTCCTCTTCATAGGTGAGAAAACCTTTGATAGGTTGTACACTGGCTATACAACAGAATCACACTGGATTAACTTGGAATCTCTGTAGTGAGACCAAGACCTTAATATATTTAAAGAGATGCCTCTATACATCTTTCCCCTCTCCTGAGTTGATCTAATGTTTAGCCAAGAATTGAGAACCACTTGCTTATGGGAATCCCAAAGAAGATGTATGTAATGTCTGTCTTCCCACTGTGTATGCCAACCTTATAGACAACCTCCCTGCCAATCTCTACCACTGACTCCATTCAACACAGCATTTGAGCAAGAATCTCTAGGCACTAAACTATGAACATCTTATTGAAGACACTTTAGAAATGACTACTAGCTGCCTCTCATGCTGGATTTTGAAGGGTCAGCTTTATGAATTGAGGGTTTGGTGGACAAGTTTAACAGTTTAAGCATTGACATGGGCAGGAAGCCAACTATAGCTGGAAGGTCTGAAACCCATGAAAATGTCCCCATAGAACTCAACACAAGAGACAAATATGACTAGAGCTATTCATCAACATCACTCACAATTCCTGAGGATTATCTGGCCAAAGCCTCACAAACACTTCCTAACGATAAAACTGACCAGGTATTCAAACACCATAATCACAATGAAAGCCAATGCTCTCTATGAATGCACATGAAGATTCATTAGACCCTCAACCTTTTAAAGGTATTTGTAGCTCTTTCATTAAAAAATGAGAAAATTGCCTCAACTTAATAATTTAGGACAAATTCTGCTCATGTGCAGCAGTTAAATAAACTTTGAAAGAGACCCAAGAGTCTTCACAAAGTTGGAATTAGAAGGTCTTCAGAAATATTCGGGTAAGGATAGGAATACAAAAGTCTCCCAGAGTCATCTGGACCTTTGCTGTCCAGCACAGTAGCCCCTGGTCACATATGACTCTTGAGCACTTAAAATGTGGCTATAGTCCTGAATAGAGATGTTGCTCTAAGTGTAAAATACACACCAGATTTCAAAGACTAAAAGAAGAATGCAATGTATCACTTTAGAGTTTTTAAATACATGCTAAAACAATAGTTTGGATATGTAAATACCTTTGGCCTTTGCAACATTGGAATTCCAACAACAGATGAACTGTATATACCATTTGATGGACATCATCTGTTTGAATAACCTTAGCATTTACAGATTTAATGATATTCCAAGGGTTAATGTGCTACCTTAAAAGGTATGCATGCAAGGGGGAGGTGGGGAGGGATTGCCAGGGGAGAAATACCAAATGTGGGTGAAGGGGAGAAAGCAAACAAAACACACTGCCCTGTGTGTACCTATGCAACTGTATTGCATGCTCTGCACATGTACCCCAAAACCTAAAATGCAATTAAAAAAAAAAATAAATAAAATAAATAAAAAAAAGAAAAAAAAAGGTATGCATGCAGGCTTTTATGATATGATATGATATGGTATTAGATATTTTTATGAAATATAAATTTATATTTGCTAACACTGTATAGTCTATGTTCAGTTGCCCAACCAGTTATCTTACCACCAAATGATGAGGCAATCCAAAAGTATTAAATCTCAAGCTGACTTTGTTGGAAAGATATTTTTTAAGTTACATACTTTTTAAATCTCATAGAATAATACACATTAAATGCAAAAGTTCATAGAAAACATTACTATAAAAATAAGGCACTACATGGCAGAATTTTAAAACCCTGCTTTATAATTATAGCATCATTAAAATACTGCAGAAAAATCATTGTTATTTTTACTCACTTTATGTGGGAAGTCGAATCTTAAACCATGTGGTAATATTTATAAATATAGGGCTCTGACATCTTTGGATATATATCTGTCAGGTATTAAGTTTACATTATTTTCACAGGCCTTGCATTGTAGGAATTCTTGGTCTAGGAAGTCCTAAGTTAACTCTAAGAGAAACCTGTGAAAACTTGAATTGGTTTCTCCACGAATTATGTGGCATAAAATTAGGGAATCCATGAGCAGAGTTATCTCCCTGACCCACAAGGATATCCCAAGGTTTCTGCTGCTCTTCCAAGAAAGAAATGTAAGTGTACCAATATTCATTTTTTGACTTTCGTTAAACAAAACAGATTTTGATGGGGCCAGCAGCCACTCATAGCCTTCCAAGAAGTCATAAATCTCTTCTGGTCCTCCTCTTACCTAGGCCAACCCAACCTATCTTAACAGCAGCATCCATCAGGACAGCAGGCTCTATCTTTCCCATATGTCTACTTCTACAAGACCCTGTTTCCGACAGTAGATTTACTTGTGTAATGAAGATCTGAGAAGACTGATATAATGGAAAGAGTATGGGACAAATGAACCAAAGAGAAAACCTCAAGAATGCTTCAGAGTGCATCTCAGCATTTCACTAAGCAAACCCAGGAAAGCATGGCTGCATTCCAACAGGCAGCTAGAGCTAAGCAGGGAAGGGACACGAGGCAAAGTCCAACCCAACCAAACTACACGATTAAACTAGCTCAGCTATCCCACTTATCACACACTTACTGACTCCCTAAAAAGTGCTGGCAACATTTGGGTCGAGACACCTCCTGCACCCTAACAGACAGTGCTATGATTTGAATGTCTGTCCCCACTGAAACTCATGTTAAAACTTAATCCAAAATACATCAGTATTAAGAGGTGGGGCCTTTAAGTGGTGACTGGGTCACGAGGGCTATCTATGTCTCCAAAAATGGATTACTCTATGCATGGACTAATGGGTTATATCAAGGGACGGGGTTAGTTATCATGAGTGGGTCTGTTATGAAAGCTAGTCTGGTTCCCTCTTGTGAACTCCTTCACCATGTGATGTACTGTGCTGCCTCCAGACTGTGCAGCACTGGCAATAGAATGCACTAGAACTTGTCCTGGTTTTGTCTTTCATCCTTCATATCCAAATGACTACCCAGATGGGTCAAGTCTGCTCTCTAAATCTTTAACTTTTGCTCTTCTGTCCTTGCTTTCCCTATTTTCATTGCTTTAGTTCTGCCCCTCATTATTTTGCTTGAATTGGTATAAATTTTCTAACAGGTCTCTCTGCCTCTAATCTCATACCTTTCTAATCTTAAGTATAAATGTGATTTTTTTCTCTTTCAAATCCTTCAAATATAGTTTGACAAATAAATGTCTTCATGACTTATCACCTGTTTACCTCTCTAGACATAGTAACTTTTTTTTTGAGACAGAGTCTCACTCTATTGCTCAGGCCAGAGTGCAGTGGCATGATCTCAGCTCACTGCAACCTCTGACTCCTGGGCTTGTGCCTCAGCCTTCCAAGTATCTGGGACTACAGGTGCATGCTACTGCACCTGGTTCATTTTTATATTTTTAGTAGAGATGGGGTTTTACCACACTGGCCAGGCTGATCTCAAACTCCTGGCCTCAGGAGGTGATCTACCCTCAGCCTCCCAAAGTGCTGGGATTACAGGCATGAGCCACCGTGCCTGGCCAACATAGTAACTCTTAAAGAGTGTCACGCTTTTCTCCTATCTTTGTATGTGCTAAGCTTTTTGCCTTGGGAATACTCTTTCCAAACTTTCTGCTTTGAATGTTCCACATCCCCTAGTGCTAAGATCTATTTCTTCTTAAATACTTAAGTGTAATCACTCTCTTGCCTAGTCTCAGTTGAATAACTTTCCTAATTATACCTCTACAGCACCTTGTACATGTGTCTATCACAACTTTTACTGTTCTCTATTACATGCTTGCTTAATTCAGTTCCTAGAGATCAACTGTCTCATTTCTACATTCGTGGTCTGTAACAATCTACAGAATCAAGTGGTGCTTTATAGTTAGTTGCTGATACAGCAAAGTCACTATATTTTAGTGAGAGTGGAAATCAGCACCCATAATGTTCTCTATTATACCTAGGTTTCTTTAAACAATTCAGCTAAGGTCTTAAATACTATGACTACACCTCATGACTGGAGAGAATATGTTTATTGTTTATACTAGCCACTAACATTATTAAGTGCTTACTATGTGTCTGGTGCTTACATACATGTATTTTTTAATTTAATCCTCACACCAACCCTGATGTAGGCATTAATATCTCTTTTTACAAACAAAGTGGGGGGGGGGGGCCTTTATCTTGTTCACTGTCCCTAAGACTTTTTCCAGAACTCATGTTCTTATGCTAGGAAACTCGATACCTTTTACATCATGAAAATTGTGGTATTTTTTACTCTTCTTTTCAAAACATAATGAAATGTTACTAAATACAAGCTAAATTTTAAAAGTTATTGATTATGCACTAGCAGTTCACTCCTCCCTGAAACACTTTTTGTTTTGCTTGTTCCACAGAGCTTTATTGTAGGGATGCACACAAAGGACGTCCACTCAATTCCAGTTTCTTGATGGATGTGTTTGTCCTCGCTGTCTTTTGGCATGACTTTGGCTACCACTATCTCAAAGCCCTTCTGAGTGACAGGGACTCGCTATTACCTCAGGGCATACAGACTGGTTTCTGTACACATGCCCTTCATTTCAGCCCGATGCTCCTGACATAAGCTCAGCAATTTTTCTCAGGTTGATTCCCTTGGTCAGGTTCGTTTCTGAGAATGAATCTTAAAAGTGTCCAGCAGGGCCTCCTCATTGCAGAATGGCAATTCAATTTCTCTGTCAATGTCCCCTGGAAAAAGTATTACCAAATCTAGGATATCAATCGTTTTAGTAGCCATGATAAACCCTGATATTCTTGGTGGCCTCAAAGCCATCCTCAAAGCATCGTCTGCTGCACTTCATTGTTCCCTCCAGTGAAGCAATCCCCTCCAGCTGAGAGGAGCCGATGAAGATTTCATCCATGAAGACAACAGATGAGCATTTTCTCTGTCATAACAGAAATTCCCCAATGAATTTTTGTCCCAATTCGGAGCCAGAGACATGAATAAAGGTTTGGTCCTTATGATGAGCCAGAGCCCAGGCCAACAATGTCTTCCAAGCAGCACTCCCTTGGGCTGGGCAATGCCTAGTGCACTTTGAAGAGCTGAGGATGCTTATCAGGCAGCTCAGTCACTTCTTTGATCTCCTTGATCTGCCTGTCCAGTCAGTCCGCCAATCATTTCATAAGTTGAATCTGGCACTTTCTTCACCATCATCATTGACACCAATGGGTCCACCTTGTTGGGTAGGATCTTGTATAAAGTGTAGCTATCATTTCTTAGAACCACCCAGGAACTGGGTGTCACATCACTGATGCTGGTATTTTTGTCTACATCTATGACAAACTTGTCCTTGGGATGCACCTGGATCAACACTTTCTTCTTATCCATGGCCTGCACTACTTCCCTGACACAGGAGTTCTGTTCCTGCAGCAGCTATAGCTCCTCTTACACTTTAGCTTTTAGTTCATTCCTGTGCACCTGCTGCCTCCAGAGATTTTGGGTCTTATCATTTACAATCAGCTGCAAATGCACCTGGAGTTCAGAACTGTTCCTTGTGGCTTTCCTCTATCCAACTTATATTGCAGCTGCCCCTAGAGTTCTTCAATCTTGGACAGATAATACCAGCACAGACCTCTGCCTGCCTTTTCCTCCTCCAGTTCCATCTGCTATGGTCCATCAAGTGCCATCTTGTCTTTTCAGTATAGAACGCTGGCATCTTAGCCATCTTGGCACGCTGGCATAGAAGCAGAGGCTTCCCTCCCCAAAATTTAATAGCTGTCAATCATATTTCAATCACAACATTTACATATAGGTTTTACATTAGAAATGTCAAAGTACATCTTTTACTTATGGTTAAGGTAACAAAGAAAGACTTCTTTGCCCATTACTAATATAAGCATTATTACTTATTATACAATTTTTATTAATAATTTTAAATTCAATTTTGTGGGAATGAATATAGAAAAATAAAGAAGCCATAACATTAATTAATTCATGGTATTTTTCAGCATTCAGTTATTTCTTAGTTTTACTGCAATTTATTGTCAACTTCTAGATAGAAGAGAGAATATGACAAATTTCCTTGAAAACATTCTTCTCTTTCTGTTTCCAAATAATAGGATAATTTAGCAAGATCATTTGGACGTTTTATTTATTAAAATATGAATGAGTTTTTCCATTTTAGTTTAGAATACACTAATACAAGTTGTTCCTAATTCATTTCCTCTATGTCTTGTGATTGATGCTTTTGATATCTAATTTAACAGAAAAATATTTTATCTAATAGAGAAAATTAAGATTTTACAGAAAGAGTTGTAGAAACCATGAATAAAGCAATAGAGCCATGATTTTCAATGAAACTCACAAAAATATTTACTATAAAGAAAGAAAATGTAATAAACTAGTGTAATAAAGACCAATATCACCAAATTCCAAAGTCTCTTTTGACCTCTATAAAGGTCTGCTAACTATATTATATGCACATAGGTACTCAAAAACGCTACTAATAATCAAATCTTTTAAGATTCTGGTACCAGGTTTACTGATAACAGGATATAAGTTGAACTGTAAATTTATCAACCATAAATCATTAGTACCTACCAATTTCAACCTACTAAGTCAGAAAAGGAAGGCATGAGAATTCAGTTACAGAACTTTGCCATTTCCAGTGCCAAGACAGGTACCTCACTGTTCAGGTCAGCTAAGAAACACAATGTTAGTTCATAGATAACACTGGTTCACAGACAACAAAATTTTATCATTTAAAATTTTTCATTTATTTCTGGGATGTTAGTTTATGCCATGCTGTTTTTTGTCTCTTTATAAACGAGGAACCAAAAATCTCTCTTATTATTTAGACACTGGTCTAAAATTAAACCAACCCCCCTTAAGTATAGTAATGCTGCATTTTCAATTAAAACTAAGTATTAACATATCTGGTCTCCTTCAATGCCTTTCATTTTCCACAGAGTATCAGTCACTTTGGAGACCGTGTATTTCACATTTAATACAGGAATTCTGTGATTTAAAAAGAATATTCAGTTTCCTCGCTTAAGCAGGGGATTCACAAAATATGATACTCAAAGAATTATTTGTATAGGTTATTTAGAAAGGTTTACCAGCTATTCTTGACTACGAATCACTACTAGAAGTATATGAAATAGCAATTTCCTCTAAAAAAACTCAAGCAATTTAGTTTTAGAATGCAAAGATCTGGAGAGAAAAGAAAAGTATATAATAAAACAGAGAATTTAACTACTGTTACTCACAACATAGCAAAGAAAAAATCAGAAGTTATACACTTCAGAAAAAAGGGAATAGGCCAAAGAGAAAATGTTGGCATGCTAGAATTTTTTTTTTTTTAACTAAGAAAATACCTGTAACAAGACCAAGGGACACTGAACAAGGGCACTTCACATTTAACCACTCATTGTCAACAGATACTGAGTTTACCTCAGGATGAATCAAAATTGTAAGAAAATGGTCCAAATGAACTAGAAGACTTCCAGCAACTAACAAACTATACTCATATTTAATAAGCACCATTTACTTCTGTGTAGTTTTACATAGTTCTCAGCAATCTGATTTAAATGAGAACTTCCTCTGTGAAAGAATAAGATGTTTTGGATATTATTATCCATACACAGTACTAATGTCAATTAGATGGTAAATTCAATTATTCTTAAATTAAAAACAAAATTCAAGCTTTGTTCAAATATAGCTTATTTTTGGAAAAATTCTCCTCTTCCACTCTCCTAACTTGATACATAAGGTTAGGTAATATTTACATTGGAATTACAGTCTTTTTCATTTAAAACAATATCAGCATTGCTACAAGGTATTAATTTAAGTGATTATTCTTAAACTTCATCATACCCGAACTTAACTATGTCTGCAAGTCAAATAAGCTTTGAAAAGGAACCTGCCATTTTCATTAACTCATTCAGACTGTAATCTTTGACATACATAGGGCAGATATGCTGAGGCTGGCCCTCAGTCCTTTTGGGGCTACATTCTAGTAAAGTGTCTAGTGGGTGAGAACTGAAATAACTATGTAACATTTAAAACAAATTAAGACTTGCACTAAGAAACCAAAACCTACATGTTATGTAAAATGACCTTTTTAATGTTGTTTCTGCTATCACAAAAAACCAGTTATACCATTATTTATATTTCAATCACAACATTGCTCTTAAAACACAATCTATAATCCATCTTGCAACCAGATCTGAAAAACACATATTAAGACTATGCTTAGTCTATTTCTCTGACAAAAAGCCAAAAGTAAAACAGAATTTTACTTTCTCCTAAACATTCTGGCAAGAAAAAAAAAAAGCCAGATCAAGGTAAGATGAGGATTCAAAATTGGCAATAAATCCATTATGGACAAAGAGTGGCACTAAAGTGAAATTTCAGAACATATTGCTTTCCATATATGCACATGTGATCTTATTTGAATATGAGTATTTACAAAGATTCTAGAAAGCAAAAACCAACTTGATAACCCAGGCTTTCAATCTTTATTGTGTCCCCCATAACAATTAGTTGTCAGTAGTTTCAGCTAAATATTTAAGTATCTATTGTGATTTTATGTCTTACTTATACTATTCAGTGTTTGCATAATAGATTTACAAATATTTTAAGAGACATTATATAGAATATTACTTGTATTTTCCAGAATAACGACTTTAACTTTGAGTAAAAACTGGAGCATTTGGGCTTTAAAAACTTTTTTCCTCCTTATTCGTAAGCTGCTCTTTTTAGGAAGTCACTGATAGAGATTGAATTTGAAGTAAAAATGCCAACGTTTGTAAATTTTGTCAAAAAGGGATTGCTACAAACAGATTTAAGTGAATACTGTTTCAGAGAAATATAATAATCAAGTAGCACTTGACACTGACAAACAATGAACTTTCTTTAAAACCACAGGAGCTTCTATTGTAGCAGATGCAGCACAGAATCTTATGACAAAGAGGGGCCAAACAGTGAATTTAAGCCAATATAGTTTAAAAAGTAAACAAGTCAAATATTAAATTGGTGCAAAAGTAATGGTGGTTTTTGCAATGACTTTTGCATCAACCTATCAGAAAATCAACTTCCAGGAGAATACAGTTAATCCCCATAGTTGTATAAATATCTTCCTTTAAGAACGGAAGACAACAAAGTAATTCTCATCATAACAGTTTATCAGTAACAGAAAATGAATCAATTATTCACATTCTAAGAGGTTTAACTTGAGGGGATTGGGCAGGAGGATATGAAAGCTTACAAAATCAAAATTGTAAAATAAAACAAATTCAAATTAAGACTTCATGGTAACAGAAAAAATTTAGAAAAAGAATAGTTTCCTTAAAGGAAGAATATTTTCCACAGCTAGTTAAAAAGCACCTATTAAACTGTGCTGTCAGCTGTCACAATGGAGATTTTGGATTCCTTTAGCAATTGCAGCATAACAAAAGGCATTTCACAGCATAACTTTAGGGAAAATGTTATCTGAGCTGGAATCATACAGAAAGTAATTAAAAACCCTTTTAATTCTTTATAATACACAAATTTTTCTGGGTAGCAGCAGATGCTCCTGTACTTGCCCTTTTAAAAAATATGAAACAGAAGCAAGAAAGTAGGGGAACAAATTTAGAGAAAATTAAGAGTAGCAGCGTTAAATAAAACAGCAATTTCTTAAAAACATTAGGAGTAAAGAAAGATTAAAATAAAGAAACAGTACTTACTGTGCAACTTTCAGTTATACCAAGTAAAGTGCACTGCCTATTCATTGATAACATTTTCCCTATGTTGACAACACAAAACCTACTTATCGATATTTTTGATATAAAAAAAAGACATTCACTATCATAGCCCTGACAACTCTTCCAGTATTTTTAACCATTCAGATGTATTATGTGGGAAAATTTATTCACATATTTTTGTTTAACACATTTCTATACAAACTGAATTTAAAAGTGTCTATAACATTTTCAATTACAGTAATAACACATGAATAAATTATAAACAAAATATTCATATCTGCTTTAAAAAATCATTTATCAAATGCTAACTTCCAGATTATCTGGAAAATTAAAGATGCAAATTGCTAAAAATCTGGGATCCCAATTAAATTCCAATTTTTAAAGGTATATAAAATCTCCTCAAATTATTCCAAGTTCCATTTCAGAAAATTTTATTTTACCCTTAAGCTTACAGCCCGCTAAACATTTTACCCAAATGTGAGAGAACTGCCTGGAGATGCAAAGCACAATAAAATAATTACGTGAAAAGACCAAACAAAAGATACCCGTTAAAACAGAGTTATTGTAGCTGGCAGCACTTAAAACTGGTAATCTGTATTTTTTTTTTAAATTGCATAGCTGCAAGATGATTCACTGCTGATT